AAGTACATAGTGACGTATATTATTATATGTTACAAGCCGGCACATGCTGGCTTTTTTTCGGAATTTATGAGTCGGCTCCGTACGTGTATGTACTGAGTTCTTGAGTCGTGGAACTTCGGTAGCCTGGACGTCGTAGGGGAGGGGGGGGGGGCGTGGGAAGAACTGTCGAGAATCAATGCGCGCGTGTATGTCATCCATAAAATTATGTCGGTGTGGCCTAATAGCGTTATAGCACTCGAGGCACAATTCTTTCGTCCGGAATGAAGTTCTTTTTAATATTTTTGGGAAGGTTCATTGTCAAGAGTTTTTCATCCCTTTTCACAGTTCATTTAGAATGATATTCTTCGTCTGTCTTCAATGTACACGCAATTATAACTCTTTTTTCCCTTCTTGAATACGTACTGTCTTATCATTGTGAGACGTTTCCATTCCATCTGGGTCTGTCCTTGGCCACCTTCTTCACTGATCGTCAGGTCACATGTCACAGTTCTTCTAGTTTTTTTGGCTCTGCCTCTTTTTCTTCTCTCCAGCATTTCTCATATATAAGGCTGTTTTTAAGTACGTATGCCTGTGCAAACATGTGATGAATACAGAAAGGTAACATTTGCAAAGCAAATGCATAATGTTAACCTTATGTTAGGCTGACATAATGCTAGCCTAACAAACTATTGTTTTGTTTATTCTTACTCACCCAAAACATTATCTTAATACATGTTGTGACACAGTCTTAAACACTGTCCTGCAACTTGCAACACAATGTAACCCAACTCTGCTACATCAGTTTCCATGGTAACAGACGTCTGGTCCAAATCATTGACCAAGAACAGAGCAAAAACAATATGTTTTCCTTCGTGCTTATTCATTTCTTTCCTTTCCCTCCTGGCTGTAGCCGTGAGAGCGCAGACCGGCACGGTGAATGGCGGTCCTGATGTGTATCAGTCAATAGGCCGGACCGTCACGCTAAGCTGTACCTACTCTCTCAGCGGGTCCGCCACCCTGCGCGAGATCAAGTGGTACCGCGTTTCGGACGGCGGTGACAGAGAACCAGTCCTGTTCTACTATTCGGGCGAATCCGCCTACACGTTCGGCTTGTACCGTAACAGGTAAGCCACCTCAATATCACGTACATCTTGTACCGTAACAGGTAAGCCACCTTAATATCACGTACGGTCTCTACTGTAACAGAATTTGCATGATGTAATCCAACACTATGTATGTGTAGCACTAGTTACCATAGTGGCAGACGTCTGGTTCAGGTCATTGACCTTATTCATTTGAAGAAGAAGATGAGGAGGAAACTGAGCAAAAACAACATGTAAGGTAATGCGAAGGTAAACATTTAAAAAAACGTAAACAGTTTCATCAGTTTGGTAAAGCACTGAGTAAAGAGGCTCTTTTTACACAACCAAGTCATTTATTCAGCCGACGTTTCGGTGACCGTCTGTCACCTTCCTCAAGGCAATTCTGACTGTTTCACATTGCATTGCAGCACAGGTGGGAATGCATCTGCAGCAGCAACACCTGTGCTGCAATGTGAACCAGTCAGAATTGCCCTGAGGAAGGTGACAGACGGTCACTGAAACGTCGGCTGAATAAAAGACTTGGCTGTGTAAAAAGAGTCTCTTTACTCATTTTAAAAACATAAGAATATTTTTAAAAATCCCTTCCCAGGGCGAGCCTGGTGAACACGGACACGGCTGCCCAGGATGCGTCCCTCCGCCTGAGTAACCTGCAGTTCAGCGATAGCGGCACCTACGAGTGCCTGGTGGGGGCTGGCGGGAGCGGGCTGCAGCCATGGGACGGATCCGTCGAGATCAACCTAGTGGCCCTGGGTAAGTCCTGGATTTAAAGTTAGGCCATGTTGATTTGTTCATATCTCAATGAACCCCAAAACTAATGCGAGCGTGCGAATAAAAAAGTTTTTCAGAACATGTTGCTTTCATTATGAAATCTACGTGGTCATGAAGGTTGAACAAATGACACAGAGTATGGTAAGGCGAATAATCTACTCTTTAAATCCATTTCTTTACATTTTCGTCATTACCTCCATGAAATGGAAGGTATTGTTTTTGGCGCGTCTGTGTGCGTGTGTGTGTGTGTGTGTGTGTTGAGTTTCCGCATATTTGTAGTCAGCATAACTCCATAACGCCTTTATGGATTGTGATGATATTTGGTATGCTGGTAGGTCTTAGGAAGCCAAAGGTCAAGGTCAAATATGGGCCTCCTGGTGGATGACCTTGGTACTGCAGCAGAACTTCCGGTTTTTGTATCTTTTGTCCTGAACATGTTATGGTCTTGATTTTTGGGTGACAGATAGATTGTCCTGCCAGGAATAATTGGTGTGGGTTTGGTCCCCCTAGCAGCTTGTTCTGAAACTGCAAGGGACTTTCGGGGGAAAATCTTTAAAAGCCAATAGGTCCAGACAGGAACAATGTATTTTCATCATTTTTGGTAGGTAGGTAGCTGAGAGAGATGTACATAACTTAATGCAAATTATGCAAATGAGGACTTCATTTGCATAATAAATGAGGAAATTCTCTAATTACAGTGTTTTACATTGTAGTACTTTAATACATGTGATGTATGTAATCTTTGGCAGATGGAACATCAACAGATACCAATAATGCAAATTATGACCTCATTTGCATAATTAATGCGAACATTCAATGGGTAAATGATGGGAATTTCCTACTTGGTGTAAATTGTAAATTCATCAAAAGTTAACATCACGATACATTAATTATGTTAATGTGGAGGTCATTTGCATAATTAAAGAGGAAATTTACATTTACACGTCAAGCCCATATTTCATGGAGGTATGTGATCTCAGATCTCTTGTTTTCGTTTGATTTTGGCATTCTACGACATTGGGATTGTTTTCCAATTTCTTTTTTGCAAGTAACGGTATATATTTGATTATATTGCAACTTTTTGTACGATTTACAGCATGGTTCAAAACTTTTTTTTTAAACGGTCGAAAATTCATGCACGCGCGGATGTCATCCATAGAATCAAATCAACATTGCCTTAGTGATCAAAGTTTGCACTTACAAGGTCTGCTAGTAAATAGATTGCCATTTTCGATTAAAAATCATCTGTGTTGGTTGAATCCATAGAGTTTAAGCTAGCTTGTAATTTAAAGTTTCTCTTTAACGTACCTTCGTCAGATGTGTGATCTAGCCTCTACCAGGCTTGGGGAGGCGGCTGGAAAGAGTAGAAATCGGCCAAACAGAGAGATAGCATGCCAAGGGAGCTGGTGCTACTGGAGATAACATTTTGCCGCTCCCGAAGCCTGGTAGAGGCTAGTCATCCACTCACTGACTCTCCAGAAGTCGGAAACGTGATGACGTCGGGGGTGAATCAAAAGTGGCGGGAAGATGGAATCTTACCGTTTCTTGCTGTGATATACCTGTTTTCTATGTTGCCATAGCGGCGCCCAGGAATTGCGCAGATGATGAGTTTGCCTGTACCAACGGCCAGTGTATCACAATTTGGTCGAGATGTGACGGTGACGATGACTGTGGGGACAACAGCGACGAAGAAGACTGCCGTAAGTTCATGTTTCACAAAAACATTTTCTGCAAGTACTTACAATATTTAAGGCAATGATCCATAGCTGATTGTATTTACTGAAAAAAAAATAGTAGGGTTTTGTCAAGATCTTTATGATTTAGTGTGACCATTATCAAAAGTAACCAGAACCAAGATAAATTTAACGACAACAGGACTGGCAATGAAAACATACATTGCCATGGCGACGGTATTTGTTGATAGGGTTATTGCTTGCATGGCACTACAAAATGTATCATTGATTATCATGAAGACTCGTTGTGGTCTGTCATGGGTTTGTTACAAATAAAATTTGAGGTCGCAAGTCTCTGAGAAAACCTGCCCTGCTTTCTGTAAGCACCAGGACTCGTTCACTGTACACTCGGGAGAGTAGGAGTGATCTACTGTATCTGTCCAGACTTAACAAGTAATTATATAACAAGGTATGCATATATATTTTCCTATAGTTATCACCTCCAGCAGTGTAGGAATAATAATCGATTATCAACTATCAACTTCATTGAATCTTTCAGTAGATCTTTGCAGTTCAGTAGATCACTTCTATCCTCCCCTGAGTGTGTAATGATCGAGCCCCGGGGTCACAGAAGTAGGGCATCCCGGCAGCCACATTGTCCCAATGGTTTCCAGGGACTGTGTTCAACAAAATGCCAGAGCTGTGAGACAATCCTGTGGACATTCCATTTCTGTGTAAACACATTCCTGTACAATTCTTAAAATTCTCAGACTGCACACAATACTGTACCATTAGGCTCACCCATGAGGAGTCGCCAAAAAGGAAATTGTCTGAACACTCTTTATGGTATGTACAATCATGTAGGTGTAGTGAAGGGCGGACATGTCCACAAAGAAATTTTACCACAGTCCCCTCAGTTAGACAGCCTCAGGTTAGCGTCGTGTCGGCAGGCCATGAATGAATCAATGATAACCCCAAATATCTGTTTGGACATGCGCCCCTGTTCTCGGACCCGGGATCGAACCCGGGTCTTCTCGTTTGAACGCCAAACTCTCTACCACTACGCCACACGACGCCGTGTCCTGGAATACTATATGGTAACGTCAACTTCCTTTGTAAAGAACCGACAGAAAGATGTATTTTGTTGATACGGGCCTTGCTTTAGTAAAGTTGTACACGTTTTCTGATGATTGTGGTAAGAAGGTGCCCAAAGGGTCATTAAATGCCCCTGCCACTAATATCCATGCGAAATGAGGGTTCATCATGAAAATGAGAATCACAGTTAACGAGAAACATTTATTATACATATAGCTGGCCATCATCTAGCAAAGGTAAGAGGTCGTAAAACTCTGTTTTAACTGTTGTTTGTCTATCGGTTTTTTTTTCTGTTAGCTACTCAGAAATGGCGCGATGATTACCGCTGTAGAGGCCGTTTCACTACAGCAGACGGGAGGACCGCTGAGTGCAACCCTGACAGTATCAACCCATGCTGCTCTCCACATTTCTGGTGTGGGATCACTCCAAATTACTGTAACTGTGCGGATTGTGTCGACTACCGTATGTATTTAATGATTTATAAATGTGTGAGTGTGTCTGTGTTTATAGGGTTTCTTCAACATTCCTCGCATTCCTCATGTCTGGTCCACGTGCCACACACATTACTTTCAATCCGTGCCCGATCACGATTTGCCTAATGTACATTTAATTGTTGTTTGATGAAAAGTATACTATTCACACTGCGTAATCACTGGATCATCCTTAATGAGTTATGGAGCAGTGCCGGAGTCGCGCGATGAAAACAAGTCCCTTCATATCCACTTATGGTTATCAGGGTGGGGTGTGGGGGGGAATCAAAAGTGCCTGCTGTGTTCAAGCTGGCTTCAACCTTCCTCCCGCCCACTGCTTCAGGGACCTGTCTCCACCGCATTCCCCGGAGGGCGGATGTTTCCAGTAAATGCACAATGTGAATGGGCTATCAGCCCCTTATATGGGGTGTGATGACGTCATTGGCGGATTGATCCAATAATTAAGCAATGTGAAAAGTATACTATTCACACTGCGTAATCACTGGATCATCTTTAATGAGTTATGGAGCAGTGCCTACGTCGCTTCTCTCTTCTTCTATCCCATCTAATATCCACCTTTCCTATCGTCTTCTAAACCCCATACTCATTCCCACACTAAATCTTCCCTATGTAAAATAGGCGTATTGTTTTCCTCTGAACGATTCAAATAACGACCACGAGCCTTTCTTTAGTTAAAAAATAATATGCTTTAATTTCTTCGAACACGCACCACCACAGAGGTGAAAAGTCACAACGGATATACTTGGTTCTTTCTTACATTCTCTTTACGCTTCTCGGCCTTTTGGCTAAGATCTATGCTGTTTTTTCCTTTTTTGGCATAGGATTTGGAGGAGCGTTTCGGACGAATTTTTGGTTGCCCGTTTAGACAAACGGGTAATCTAGATAGTACGAAAAAGTCATTTTTATTTATTGTTAAGTCAGGATATAGTGTTAAGGCCCCTGGGGACCTGTACCCCCAGGGTGTAGAGGGTTGAGATCTGTTTGTTGATCTCACCCTCAATAAGTAAAGATCAACACCCCAGACATACATCCGGTTGGCCGACCCTGTGGGTAGTCGGGCTTGTCCTGACCTGTACCATCCTGCGGTGCTTCTTAGCAGGTTTGGTACAGGGCTGACCGGAACATCTGTATCCGACACTTCTTTCTCTTTGATTTTCCGATTTAAAATCTCGATTGAAGTATGAATATTATACCAAATGATGTGTTTAAGAGGACTTTGAGCCTCAAGTTTGATGAAAGTAATGAAAATGTGAATGTCAGGTCCTTCCTCGAGGATGTAAGCAAAATCCCCGAGGTGGACCTGAAATCTGACATCGATTGTATCAGACAAGCTAACCAGAATGTATTTGAAATTACGTTTGTAACTCTTACAAAAAAGAGTAGTTTGGTACTGAAGTTCAAAGACCAGTTTCCGTCAGTGTCAGTCAGTGGTTACGGATTAGGGACAGTGGTCACCTGCTTGAATGTCCCCGCTTATCTAAGCGAGGGCTCTATGCAGGCGGCCCTGTCCCAGTACGGTAAGATCATCTCCGTCAAGTATCCAACCTACCCACCGCCCTTCGAAAACATCAAGAAGGGCGTGAGACAATATAGGATGGAGTTGAATAAGGCGATTCCAAACGGCCTTAGGGTTGGGAATCATATTGTCTGGGTCAAGTACCTCGGGCAAGAGAGGTCTTGTAACAAGTGCGGCGAGAAGGGACACCTGTTCGCAGAGTGTCCTTTCGATAAGTGCAGCCA